GTTACAAGCGAAATTTTGCTCAAGGTTTCGGCTTCAACGAAGCTCGAAATCTTCACGTTAGCAAAATCGTGGTAGGGGAAAATAAAATTTCTTCTCCGCACGCGCCCAAAGTTCGCCGCTGAGTCTCATCGTAGTTAAGCGGACATGACCCTTCAGGCATCACTTTGATATGCTATACTATAGCGCTACCTATATAAATACATAAATACAATACATTCCCTACCTCATTAGACCCGTTCGGTTCGATCACGGGGATAAAAAGAGGCTAGTTAAGCGATTATTTCTAGTCAAGCGGGAAGCACGAGCATATTCTCTCTGAACACAGACTTCTGAGCGCAAAGGCTTCGTGTTTTGCTGGGGTCGAGACCTCACACATATTGTCCTTCTATGTATTAAGAAAGTCCTGAGCCGTTTGACACTTTTTTGTGCTTTACTTTTTTATTCCGCGTACAATGGAATCTACTCAACAATATAATCACCATTGTTACTCACTACAGAGTCCCACCTAATGGGCAGGTCAGCGACCCCCTTCTCCCAGAACTGAGCAGACTGAGAGTCAAAGAAATCGCTGACCGCTCTTTCAACGTCTTCAACTTTGGTGAATTTTTTCTTCGCTAGGAATGCCTTAAGGGGATGAAAGTAAGTGATAATCAGAGAGGGCAATGTCAGGGGAATAGGGTGGGTGGGGAACCGCGTCCCAGATCAGCTCTTCCAATTTTGCACGGGTCTCTTTAGCTATGTGGGGCCTGGCGTCATCGTGGAGTAGGTGGACAGAAGTTCGTCTCGGTCGTTTTTCTTGAACAGCGTCCGCTAGTTTCTGGAGCTGACTGGCGTAAATGCTGCCGGTAGCGGTATGTCTTTGCGGGAGCATCTCATAATACAGCATTCCTCACGAATCCCAGAGGTAGCAAAGAAGACAGCTTTTGGGGTGAAGGTCCGATTTTGCTTGTGTCGGCGGGTCTTCTCCTCGAGGGAGCCACACGGCACTGTGCTTGTTAGAATCGTAGAGGACCCAACTCTCATCTCTCGTAATCATGCCTTCCAAAAACTCCTTTCGGTGCGGACAAAGAAGGAGAAACTGACAAATGGGTACCCGCCTGAACCGCGTGCTATCGGTCAAGACATGAGGGATCCATCGAGTCGGCACTTTCCTGTGGCGAGGGCGTGGAGGGGACCGAGGACTGTGGGATGGGTGCACCCGAGTCTTATCACAAGGCTGCGGGTGCTAACCTCCGGATCCTCTTCGACAGCGCCGAGAACGGTGGAGTCTTCCACCTTTTGGGGGCTTCCCAACCTTGTCTTTTCTTTGAAAAAGCCTGCGAACCAGAGCTTGGCACTGATGATGGAAGTGGTGTCCCTTCCCAATGCGATGCTGATAATGTTGACGGTTCCCACTGCTCCTGTGCCGCAGCGCCATTCATTGAAGATGATCGCTCGAAAGTGTTCTTGTGGAATCGCCATCATTATTCGGCAATATATACCTACTGCGGAGAAGTATGATCGACAGCGATAGTCTATCACGTAGCAGATTCTAGGTATCGATCAATAAGCGAAAGTTCTGGAGCTTTCGAAAAATCGGCTCAGGACTTTTTTACCATCCCAATAATTTGTAAAAAAAGACAACCCTGGCCATTTGAGCAATCCAATGATTCGATTACTCTTCGTCATCCTCCTCGTTGAGTTAGTGCAAAAGCAGCAGTAGAACACAGCAAAATAACAGTTTTTTTCACCAATTTTCTTCAAGATGGTATTCGTTGAGTAAGGGTGCAGTATTTGGATCTAACTTATGTGTATGGTTATGAAGGGGAAAGCAAACAATTCTTTCAGCCTCACCTTGCATCAAACTTTTTGTCGCACGGGGTAATACCTTTTGGTCCAAATATTCCTATGATGTCCCGCACAGGGAACAGACCCTCCTTCACTGCTCTAACCGCTTTCGAAGTTTACCGTAGTCGCTACAGCCTGAAGATGAGGCATAACTTCTTCAATGGAATATTTAGTGGTTAGCTTCCTAGAGAAACTAGTAGCTCTGACCGCGCAAGGTCTTCCGACCAGCCTTGCAGATAATGCCGCAATGACCCACAACCCGTCCGAGACCTTGTTGAGCTCGGGCCGTGCACCATGTCCTGTAGCGAGCTCTTTGATGTCGTGGGGAGACCGCCATTATGAAATGTTCTGAGGTTCGATTTTCAATTGGGATCATTTTTTGAATCAAGCAAGATGTAATTAATTCACTTCCGTTGCCCCCCCCCCACATGTGTATGCAGGCACACATGTATATTCTATGTATGTACCTCGTTTATAGAATGCTACCACTACATATAAACGAGGAAAAACATGAGTAAAAATCCTGCATTTCCAGTATTAAATTCATGCACACGGACGCTGAATCGGAGGAATAAACGAGAAATTCTCAAGATGGTTGCTCTAATCCGCTGCATTCTCTCAAAAGGTTCACAGTAAATAATACCAGTGTGCAGAGCTTTCTTCTTATCCAAGACAACAGCGCTCTTGATTATAATAGCTTACGTTTCGGCCCTTCGCCTTCGTCAGAGGTTGAAGCAATTGGTACCGACCTTTGACGGACCAAAATCCCCAAGACAGTTTCTTCATAATAGTAAACCGACAGCCGGTATCGATAGGTCCAAGAGCACTACAAGGCCTTTTTAGATATTTGTCGCCGCAAGATAAAGTAGCTGTCAAAAATGTTCGCCGAAACGATTTCTGTGCTTCGCCTTTTTTTCGGCAGAAAAAAAAGTGGTCTCGAAGTTTTTTCTTTTGAATATCCTGATTCTTTAAGACTTGAGGATATAAAAACACTAGAAAACATAGTATATTCTTTGGAGGGCGTTGCTCAAGCGAGAAAAAATAATGCACTAAAAATCGTTTTGGCGAACACTTTTGACCGCTAGTGTAGCTAAAGATAATCGATACTGGCTGTTGGTTCACTATTCTAGAGAATTGTCTTCAGGATTGTTCGGCCTATGAAAGGATCATTCTCAATTGCATTTGAATTTTTCAGGCTTCGTCGAAGGCGAAGAGGTCCAAACCTAAGCTTAATCAAATCCACCTGAGGCCCAAACTTCTGTCATTTCGCTTA